AGAACACTTAAGATAAGCACTTACACTTCTTTCCTTGTGTTAAGGCATCTGACATTTCATCTCAACTTAAACAAATTTTTAATGTCAAATCTATCTACAGGTCTCCAACTCACCTCCTGACAAGTCCCTGTGAAGAGAAACACTCTCAGCTTCACATACCAGCTTTGACTGATAGCCTTAAGTTTACAAATAGGAACAAATTAAGCAGATTTCAGATGACAACAGTACTGTGCTGTTTCCGAAATATTAGGGTCATCTGACAAAAAAATCTTACTGCTAACTATAATAACTGACAATATTTAGGTCGTATTTCAACTTTTGTCTTCTAACTTGTATACAAGTATAGTTTTCACGCCTGCACAAATTTCTCTTTAAAAAAGCTTCAAGAACACTGCTATAAAAACACTTGAACATATATCACAGAACAACCATCTGTATTTTGGATGCATGAATGGTCTCTTCCCTGTGGTAGAGTATGAATGCATACTGCAACACAATTCTAAATGGAGCAGACTTTCAAAGTAGCAAACACAGGCAAGACAGTCTGACAAACAGCATGAGTGTTCTGGGAATACTACTTCTCTTTGTAGGGCACAAAAAAAGGGGCTGCTGCAGCCAAGAGCTTTCATCCCAAGTCTCCAGTTTTCTCCAAAACAGAGGGAAAACACAGATGCTTAGATATGGGAAATCAACACTAACAGTTTAGAGGAGATGGCAGGAAGGGTGCACTGATCAACTTCCATAAAAAGGTAGATGGTTTCTTAATGACCACACTCCTGCCAGCTAAAGCAACAATAAACTTGGGTATCTATGTAATCAGCCCAATTAGTCACTCATATTTGGAATAATTCATCTGTTCCATCAATGTTTCATCTGTTTCTCATCCGTCAGATAAGATTATATGAACATCAAATTTCATTTTTATGCACGAGTCAGGACAAATGGAAGGAGTCTATGGAGGATGGCTAGGGATTGGGAAAAGGTTTAGGCTGTCTTACGCATAGGAAAAACCCTACACTTCTTTTTGTTCCTTCTTTACTTCTCTTACATTTAAAAGCACTTTTTCACCTCTACTTAGTAAGTTCATGTTCACAGTCCAGAGAAACTCCTAGGATGCCTCAATAGGTTTTTCATCCAAGAACTACTTATGAGCCAATATTCAAACATACTTCTGTTTCTAAGAGAAACTATTAAATGGATCTGTTCCAAGTGAGTTTTCCCACCTTCTCAGAAAAGCTGAAGGCAAGTTAGATATTTTACTTTATTGTAAGAGGTTGATTTTTTTTTTTTTTTTTGCTGAAAAATGTAAGAGAATATGTACTTACAAAAGTAAGGTATAAATAGCTTGTTTCTGCGCCTGGGAACAGCAGATTGCACCGTATACAGTATACTGCATACTATGATAGCTGCAGATAACTTCTTCCCAATCCACTTGTCAGAAAGAATTAGAACAGTTTACATTATTTGTAACTATAAACAGCCTAGCAACACTACAAATATGATCTAACTCAGAAAATATTTGCTATTTGTCAAAGTAATCTCAGAAGACTGGAAGCTGGCTGATGGCATTCATGCCCAGGGCAGCACTGCAGTAACCACAGTTAACCAGCTGAAGTGGTACTGTGCCCCAAGATAGCTTAGATGTGCTAAAAGTGGGCTATCACACAATATGGAAAATGACATGCTGAAGACCACGGATGAAGCATTATTTCTCCCCTGTGCTAGACCAATGCAGACTTTATATATTGTTATTTTAATCCAATGGCAGATCTGTCTAGTGTAACTGAAGATTCTGATTCTAGAGTAATTCTCCATCTAAATCATGGTTAACAATAATTCTTTTCTTTAGAACACACGTGCTGCTTTCTTCACTTAGAAGACCCAAGAAAAACAGCAGATCCCTAGCATCACTAACTGAACAAATCTGACACAAAACACCTGCTGAACTCCCTCAGGAGGATACCTTCAACTAAATGCAAACAATGTTTCTATTATACTGGAACTGGTTTGTCATTCATTGTATTCACATAAGTGTGTTCTTAACCTCCGGATCTGGAATGGAACCAGGATGTAAGAGAGTCTCCAGGGTGTATAGAGTAATTCTGCTATTGCTGTCTTAAAGTTCAACTGAATCAGCATTTCAGCCTAGTAGTTATCCAGCAGATGTCATAATTTAATGTCAACCAAACATGGATTATCTTTCTTCAAAAGTTATTCTGCTCAGACACTTCAATGGGGGATTAAACTTAACATTACTTCACCAATAGTGTTATTTTGATATTATTGTTTTATAATTTGACTTGTTATTTTATATTAATGTTAGAAAACATGATTTCCTAATGATTCCTCCATCCAGAAATTATTATGGTAAAAACTATAAGAAAAGTCACAAAAACCCTTTCATTTAACACCACCCAGCCTTGGTAAAACCTTTGGAGGTCAACAAAACCAGTCTAAAATATAATTCATGAAAAGTAAACAAGACACTACATGTGATGTTGCATTAAAAATCAATAACAAGTGGGCTTGATCTATGCCTAATCTGAGCTCTTACTGAAACCAGGGCAAAACCAACTCTGACTATAAATTACCTTAAGCATACAGTTCCACTAGTATGGATGAGTAACTTTAATGGGACTCATTTGACTAAGACATGTTGTGCACACCTAAGTCTAACACTTTCTGAGCATGAATGATGTAAATCTCTGTGCTCATCAGAGTAGCATCATCAGACTCTGAGGTCAACACATCCTAACAGCATAACTATCTCACCTTCTATTTGACATTTCAATAATAAGGATGCCAGTGCTGTGCTGCAAACACAGTTTCTTCTGCTGGTAAAATATATTAACAACAAAAAGAACATTATAAGAGAAACATACATCCCTTTTAAAATTGTACTGCATTCTTCAAATTAATTAAGTAGGAAAATTTTGTGGAAGAAACTGTAGAAAGCTGATACACTTCTTTTATTGCAGTGATAGAGGCTAAGAAATAAAACAGACCCAAGTGGCATCACCCATCCCTTCTGCGATAGCCTTTAAAAGGAAGTCCAGGTCATTTTATCAATTTTATCTCTTTCACCCTCTTACGAATAATGAAGTAACACATAAAATTACAAATGTAAAACTGCCCACAGGCAGTCATTTCCATTTGTTCTTTGGTAATTAACCTTCTCATAAAGGCTGACAGAAGGAAGGGGAAAACATCTATCTAATCTTAAAGCACACCTCAAATTCTTATCTGGTGATTCCTATGATAACACAAATGTAGTTCTTTCATATAAGCAATTACTCCTGTCCTCTCTCTGCAAATTGTAACAAGAAGGTGGAACCTATTATTCACATCTTTGAGTACTTCACCACATATTAGCCTTAAAAGCCCAACCCTTGTAAACACTTATCTAGAAATCTTATATTTACATTAAATACAAATTATTCTAATTGTATAGTTAAATTAAATTACATTTTTCATAGGAACTATTCACAAGAACAAAGTCAAACTTGTAAATATAGCTGCTGGTTTGTAATTTTAGTGTTGCACTAACTGTACCAGGCAAGGTATTAAAATTTTGGGGTTTTTTTGCTTCGCTGTTGTTTGTATGTGGTTTTTTGTTGTGGTTTTTGTTTGTTTGGGGGTTTTTTAATTATTATTTTTTATCATATATTACTGGAACAAGAAATTCTAAAGTATTTTCCCCTCACACTTTCATTAAACACAATGAAATGAAAACTTGAGGTCAAGTCACTACTGAAGTACACTTTAAATATTTACTTCAACATCTGCTTTAAATAAAAAATGGAACAGAAGGATAGTCATCCTTCTAAAGGATTGCCATCCTTTAACTACTTCAACAGTTATCTAATTAAGTATTATATAAAAGGATTAAGTTTACAGAATATTAAGAAAGAATATACAATAGCTCTGGAAAACAATACAAAGGAAGTGTATTCAATAATGAAAAAGCCATACCAAGAAATACTGTGAAGTAACTGTTTAAGATAGTTTTCAAAGAGCAAAGTAACCTACATAAAAACACAGAAGCCTCACAGAACCAAAACTTCATTTTGCTTAATTTGATTCTAAAGAAATAAACAGCTTTACTACTCTCACAAATTGTAGCTAGTTTAGCGTATATGGGGATATTATTCGCCTGCTGCTGGTTACATTGTATATCTCAAACCCAATGGCACAGTTGGAAAAAGAAAAGGAATACAGGAAACACTAACTGAAAAATCCAGACATTCCTTATCACCTAGAAAACAAACTAACTCTCTAAAGGTCCCAGACAGACAACTCCGGGATTAAGTCAATTGCATAATGCCTTGCACGCTCCAAAGTAGGGCTCTGCCCCACGGATCTGCTCTGCTAAAGCCCCCTGCCCGCCGTGTTTCGGCCCCTCCACCTCGGCGTTCGCCCTCGCCGGGCGGTCACGAACCCGCAGCTCCGCCTCTGACACCGCTCTGCGCTCAGGGGGCTCCGTTCTCACTTCCGCAGTCACCAAATTTCCAACCTAATCCCTGACCAAGCACTTTAAACTTTCAAATTAACAATACCTGAGAGCAATTTTAACGCCAGCGTCACTCCCACCCTCAACAGCAGAAACTGAGGGAACAAATTACATCAGGCTGGAGAGAACTAAATGAATTCCTCAGGTGTCTCTATCTGAAAAGGACTTCGGAAGTCCACAGCAGTAACACGAGGACAATTGTTTAGACCTGAGAAGAGCCAGGCTTTAACAAGCGTGTCACAAGCCACCGAGCTGGTTTCCAACAAAGGCGTCCAGGGCAAGACCACGGAGACTGGAGCGTCGAAACAGCCCCGGACGCTGCGGCGGTGACACCCGGGGGAAGCAGCCGGAGGGCGGCCGGGGCCGGCTGCTCCCCGCGCGGTTCAGACCCACCGCCGCCGCCCTGGCCAAGCAAATGCGGTGGGCGCCGCAGACCTTCCCGCCCGCCCCGGGCCCGCCTCACGCCTGCGCCGGGCGGCGCGGAAGGACCGCGGGTCCGAGCGGGGGGACGGCTCGCCCACGCACCGGGCGGCGGGTCATCACCACACCGCCCACTCCCGCACCGCCGCCACGGGAGGCGAATCCGTACCTGCACCTGGCGCTCCGCCCGGCGGCCCCGCGCTGTCCCGGCTGCCGGGCCGGCGGGGTGGGGAGTGCCGGCTGTGCTGAGTAACGGCGCGGCGGGGGCGGCCCTCAGCGCCCCGGTCCGCGCCCGCAGCTCCACGGCAGAGAACGCGCGGCCCTGGCAGCGCTGAGCCCGCCCCGCGCGGCCTCGGGAGCGACGCCGGCCTGGCCTCGCCCGCAGACTGCACCGGCGCGGCGGCTGCCGGGGCGGCCGGGGGCGGCCGGGGCGGGGCTTCGGCGGCCGCAGCGCCAATGGGGCGCAGCCGCAGCGCTGCCCCGGCCGAGGAGGCTCCGCCTGAGCGCGGGGGGAGGGGGCGGTGGCGAGGCCGCGGAGCGCCGCGGGCGGGGCGTGTGCGAGCGCCGGGGCCGCGGGGCGGTTCCGGGGCAGGGGATCGGCCGGGAATGAGCTCGGAGCGGGGGAACGTGTCCCGCACGCGGCCCCAGCGCCACCAGAACGCCCACGCCTTTAGGAACGACAAGTACGACACGAGCACCCGGCTCAAGGTAGGCGGGGGCGGCCCAGGGGATGTGGAGGGGTCCCAGCGGGAGAAGGGACCCCTCCGGAGGCGGCGGAGCGCCTGAGGGCGGAGCGGTGGAAAGGGTTTGGTGCCGAAACTATGAACAGGGCCCTCTGCGGCCTGTGGAGCCACGGCCTGCCCCTGTGAGGTCTGTGCCGGGTCCTGGAAAACTTCGGGATTGCAGACGAAGTCACGGGGCAGTGGAGGCCGAGGCACTTCTTCGTTATAGTGTTGGAGATACCTTTCACCCTGCTCTGCCCCAACCAGACACAGTGATGCTAACGGAGTGATCGGAACAAGGCGCTTGAGTAAGCTGTCACAGATGTGTGGTGTGAAACTTGAATCGTGTTTGTGACATGAAAGTACCTCGTTAAGCCAAAGAATTATTAAGAGGAAGACTGAAATAAAGCACTTACATTTGTGCAGTGAGTGCAGTAATTAAACGTTCCATGCGGTGTTATCCATGTGAGTTCCTGAAAGGTGCTTGGACTTCTCAAGCTTTGTAACTATATGGTCATACTTCAGGGATCTTAAAGTTTTCAGAGTTTAGTTTGAACAACTCCCCCATCATCGATATAAATCTTGAGCTTCACTTAGTATACTTTTGAGACTTTAAACTGACTCACGTTTGCTTTAATTTCTTAAAAAAAACCTGAAGCATCTTTTCTGATTGGTTACATAAGAAGCTATTCTGTCAGTGCTTTTCCCACGCGTTACCATGGTTTGATATCTTTACACTGTTGTTACAGAAGACTATTTTGTGTATTTTGTTTCTAAGCAAGGAAGCGGAAATGGTTTACAATATATTCTTGGAACACACTCATGCTTGTAGTTGTGGTAACATACTAGCACTGTGGGAGGGTATGAAGACAAGTAGTGTGACTGAGTACCACCACCAAGGGAGGGTGTTTCCTCTTGCAAGGTAAACTGGAAAGGTTAATGAGACAAAATAGAAATGAGCATTGTAGAAGAGACTTATCTGGTGCTATTGCTGTCATGGCAGTGTTCCTTTAACTGAACCTTACTGGGCTGTAGTAAGGGGAAGAAAATAGTAGGTTAAAGCCATGACACCAAAAAGGGAGATTTGGGTTTTGTGTGTGTTTGTTTTGGTTGTTCGTTTAGATGTTGTAGAACTGGTTCTTCAGGCTCAACGGGCTGCTTTCCTGGGACTCTAAGCAGTGACAGTATTATTTATTGAGTGATTCACTGCATGAACTCTGATAGGAGAGTATTTTCCTGTCCGGCTACATGCACACACACCTTCAGGCAGTCATCCTAGGAGGACAACTCTAATTTCAAACCCAGGCAGATGGAGCTCTCTTAGCCCTGTAAGGCCATCCATCCAAGAGAAGGATACTCTAATTAAACCTACATCCTAAGGACCTCACTGTCACCATCCAAGCTCACTAGGCCCTGGCAGATGAACTTTAGGATTCAAGGGTGCGTCCTGTTCTGTGCTTGCTGCATCTCACCTAAAAAATCCACTGCGCAGGCTCGAGGGTGATATCCACATTTTTAAAGCCCTGTAGCAACAGGTGAAGGTCGAAATGGCAGGTGAAAGGTGCACTGGAAGCCACAGACCCAACCCTGCATACAGGCGGTTCAGTACATTGGTCACCTGAGACTGACCCCGGAGACGACAGTCTCTTTCGGCAGCATCCTGAATGACCAAGCAGCCTTTTTCAAGGACAGTACTGCTTGCTCCACACGGAGAGGGGCCTAGAAACGGTGGCCTAACCAAAGCCACCCTTCACCCAGTTGATTAACTGCGGCCAAAGGGCATTTCTGATGCGGTCAAACAAAGTCTAAGAAACAAAGGCATACACCTGCCTTCAAAGGTGTACCCAAATTGACATTCGCATGCTGGAACATCAGAACCATGCTTGATGCTGTGGATAGTGGACATCCTGAGCGCCCTTCTGCCCTAATTGCCCATGAACTGTCACATCTCGACATCGACATTGTTGCTCTCAGTGAGGTTCGTCTCCATGAGGAAAACAGCCTTAGAGAACATGGTGCCAGTTATACTCTCTTTTGGTCAGGTAAACCCAGAACTGAAAGGCATCTTTCGGAGCTGGCTTCATGATTAAAAACTCCATTGTTCCTAAACTTGAAAATCTGCCAATGGGTCATTCTGATCACATTATCTCCCCACGCCTTCCACTACACAACAAGCAACATGTTGTCCTCTTTAGTATATATGCCCCAACTCTCCAAGCTGACCCTGCCAAAAAAGATAAATTTTATACTGACCTGCGCCACCTTACCCAAAAGATTCCCACAGATGATAAGATCATAATCCTTGGTGATTTCAATACCAGAGTAGGAAAGAACTTTGAAACCTGGAAAGGAGTTTTAGGCAAGCATGGTGTTGGAAACTGCAACAATAATGGTCGACTTCTGCTAGAATTCTGTGCAGAGCAACAGCTCACCATCACTAAGACTATCTTTCAGCATAAAAATAGTCTGAAGACAACCTGGATGCATCCTAGATCTAAGCATTGGCGCCTCATTGATTATGTCTTGGTGCGACAGTGTGATGTTCATGATGTCCATCATACCCATGTGATACCCAGTGCAGAATGCCAAACAGATCATTGCCCTGTGCATTGTAAATTTAACTTCAGTTGTAAATTTAAGTTCACACCTATAAGGGGTGGTATTCCAAGGAGGAGGCTCCAAGTTAACAATCTCCAAACAGCCACAGTGAGAGACAGATTCCAGGCAAATCTTCAAACTAGGCTTGAAAATCATTCTATAGATCCCTCTCCTGAAACACTTTGGCAACCTATTAAAAATAGCATCCTGCAGTCCTCTGAAGAATCCTTAGGGTTCTCCTTCAAGAAGAACAAGGACTGGTTTGATGAAAACAATCAAGAGATCCAGGAATTGTTGAGGAAAAAGAGATCTGCTCACCAAGCACACCTTGCTCAGCCATCTTGTCATGTAAGAAAAGCAGCCTTTTGTCTTGCATGCAGCAAGCTCCAACAGAAACTCCGTGACATCCAGAGCGGGTGGTGGATTGATCTAGCAGAAAAGATTCAATTATGTGCAGATACGGGTGATCACAGAGGATTCTATGAGGCCCTGAAAACAGCATACAGGCCTACATACCAGGTCCAAAGCCCTCTACTCAGTGCAGATGGTCAAACGCTTCTGACAGATAAAACCTCCATTCTGAATCGATGGTCTGAACACTTTCAGACTCTTTTCAGTACTAGTCATGTAGTTCAAGACTCAGCAATTCAGTCCATCACACAACAACCAGTGAAGAATGAATTGGATACTACCCCCACTTTGGGAGAAACTCTCAAGGCCATACGGCAGGTGAAAACTGGCAAGGCAGCTGGGGTTGATGGAATTCCACCTGAAGTCTGGAAGCATGGGGCCCAAGTACTTCTTGCTAAATTTCACGAGTTTTTGGTGTGCTGTTGGGAACTAGGCAAACTACCATCGGACCTTTGTGATGCAGTCATCATCACCTTGTATAAGAAGTACCGTGGTATTACTCTGCTCTCCATTGCTGGCAAGATCCTGGCAAGAATACTTTTGAACAGATTAATACCCACTATAGCAGAAGGAATTCTACCTGAAAGCCAATGTGGTTTCAGAGCCAACAGGAGTACCACAGACATGGTATTTGTTCTCAGACAACTGCAAGAGAAGTGCAGGGAACAGAATAAAGGTCTCTATGCAACCTTTGTTGACCTTACCAAGGCTTTCGATACTGTGAGCAGAAAAGGTCTGTGGCAGATTTTGGAACATGTAGGATGTCCCCCCAAGTTCCTTAAAATGATCATCTCACTCCATGAGGCTCAGCACGGCCAAGTCAGATATGGCAATGCACTTTCTGAGCCCTTTCTAATAACTAATGGTGTGAAACAAGGCTGCGTTCTTGCACCAACCCTGTTCACAATTTTTTTCAGCATGATGCTCGAAAGGGCCATGGCAGACCTTGATGATCAGGACGGTATGTACATTCGATATCGTACTGATGGAAGCCTTTTCAACCTGAGGTGACTGAAGGCCCACACTAAGACCTTAAACCATCTCATCCGGGAGCTGCTTTATGCTGATGACGCCGCCCTTGTTGCCCACACAGAAGCAGCTCTGCAGTGTTTAACATCCTGCCTTGCTGAGGCTGCTGAGCTCTTTGGGCTGGAAGTCAGCTTAAAGAAGACAGAAGTTCTCCATCAACCTGCACCTCAGGAAGTCTTCCATCATCCCCACATCACCATTGGTGAATCAGAGCTCAAATCAGTCCAGCAGTTTAATTACCTCGGTAGCCTCATCTCCTTGGGCGGTAAGATTGACGGGGAGATAGACAACAGGTTAGCAAAGGCATATAGTGCTTTTGGAAAACTCCATAAAAGAGTATGGTAAAATAAACACCTGAAGAAAAGTACCAAGATCAGTGTTTACAGAGCCATAGTGCTGTCTCCTCTCTTATACGGATTCGAATCATGGGTCATCTACTGCCACCACCTGTGACTCCTAGGACACTTCCATCAACGCTGTCTCCGTACAATCCTAAACATCCACTGGTCAGATTATGTGACCAATACATCTGTTCTAGAACAAGCAGCAGTCACAAGTATAGAGGCCATGTTGCTGAGAACACAGCTGCGATGGGCAGGGCACGTCTCCAGGATGAAGGACCACCGCCTCCCTAAGATCTTGCTTTATGGTGAACTTGCCACTGGCTGCCGCAAGAGAGGAGCCCCAAAGAGAAGATACAAGGACTCCCTGAAACAACATCTCAGCCTTGGCCATATTGATCACCATAACTGGTCTACTCTGGCCTCCAGTCGGGAGGTCTGGAGACACACCATCTATAACGCTGCTGCTTCCTTTGAGAACACACGCAGGATCACTCTCGAGGAGAAAAGACAGTGCAGAAAGAACCGTGTCTTGCCAATACCACCTAAGGAGTTTTTCTGCTGTGCCTTTTGCAACCAAACTTTTCTATCTCATATTGGCCTTTTT